GTATCTGTATCTGTATCTGTATCTGTATCTGTATCTGTATCTGTATCTGTATCTAAATTAAATAATTCCAATGTGTATCTATAGATTAATTTGTAGATGTATCTCAAGCATATCAATATCTGAATATACAATTGTATCTGTATCTATACCTTTGCCTAAAACAGTATATATGCATGTGTATTGTATCTTTATCTGTATATAAGATATTTATATCTACCAAATTCAGTATCTTTATCTGTATCCTCACATATTTGTTTGCACACATATGTAGTATCTGTAGCTGCATCCGTGTATTCGTATCTTTATCTGTGCGTATTTATTTTGCCTTTTACACGTTATTTTTTTAGCTTCTGCCTGCGCCGGCTTGTAATTACAATAAAAAACAACAACAGCAACAACAAAACGAGACAAGAAAACGAAAATGGAATGTTTTTGATGTTCTGTGCCTGCTTGGCTTTGCTTTACATTGCTTTTCGAATTGCTGTGCATATATAAATTGTTGTGTCTTTATTTTTCTTATCGGCTGTACGAAAAAAGGGACAGTCGCGCATTTAAGAAAAAATTTCTTAACTCATTACGATTTCACTCAATACGGCGTATAATTTTTGGTTGTGGACCGACGGCATCTGCGTTCCACACAAACATCTATACACATCTACACATACACATACAATACACACACTCTTTCAAAATTACATGTTTCACTTTCTCTGGCGCCTGGGAAGACACAAAATAATAAAAACACAAAATTTCCATTCAGCATAACATCTACGAGATGTGCTTGTTCATAGTTCTTCAAACTATTTTGTAACAGTCTATAATCATGTATAAATATACTAAAGCCTTCTTTACAAAATAAGAAGATATCAAAGATTTCAATTCATTAATAATTTTGAGCTGATTTCAGCTCGAATTTGAAAATATCTTTGAGCTCTCTTTAGGAATATTTTATTTTTATTTTATTACTTTTAACTTATTATAGAACTTTTCTTTTTCACTTTTACCATCTGTGTATTCATAATAATTTACAAATTTAAACTTAGCTGATATCATTAATAATAAATTTTTAATTCATGCTTTTGCACGCACAGAAACCAGTTTAAGTTAATTTCTATGCCATAAAGCTACGCTAATTCGATGATACTAAATGTACAAATATTTATACATATATATGTGTATGTATATATGTATATTTATGTTTGATATCTGTATGCTTATTGCTTCTATACATTTCCAGCTGTACTTACATTTATCGCCTGTAGCTCGGTTCGCCCGTATGACTCGATTTTTTCATTCAGAACTTTTGCTATGCAATATATGCGTGTAATTTCTCTCTCTCTCTCTCTCTCTCTCTCTCTCTCTCTCTCTCTATCCTATCTCGTTCTCTCTTGCTCACTTCCTCTTTCTCTCTCTCTGGCTGCCCACAATATTGTACGATCTGTTGTTGTTGTTGTTGTTTTTTATTCACACAATTTAATTTGTTTTTCGTATTTTGTTGTTGATTATAATTTATTTAGTAATTGCACATAAAATGGGGGAAGCAAAAAAATTTAAATGCTGCGGCTGAGGGATTGAAAATTATTTATTATTATTTGAATTTTTTCGTATTTCACTTGAATTTGTTTAACATATTTTATTGTGTTTTTATTTGTATCTTTTATTTTGATTATTTTTTTTATAAAAATCGTAAATTTCAAACAGATTTAATGAATTCTCAAATATTTATTTCATTTTGTTGGGGGAAACTCTCAGTTCAACGTATATTTCGTATTTCGTTCTAAAAATAAAACAATTTTTCGCTTTGAAATATTTTGTGTGTTGGGTGTTTTCAGTGTTGCACTTGTATCTTTCAGCTACATACATATATAAATTTCAGATACATTCTATTTTTCATTGAAGGAATTGCTTACTTTTAGCGTTTCATTATTTTGCTTCTTTTTTTTTTATATGGCGAATACAGTTTCGAAAGTACTATATGTTCTTTGTGCTGTTTTATTTTCTTTTTTGTTTTTTTGATAAAACGCGACGCGTTCGCTGCGCAGCGCTTGCAGTTACAACGACGACGTCTGAGCGGCAAAAACTCGAGAATAAGCAAAGTGCGGCTCAATTTATACGACAAACAGACAACAAGAAGATACACACGAATGCGGCGCTGCCGCTGTTGCTGGCTCGCATTGGTATTGGTGTAGCTGTCTCTGCTGCTGCTGGTGTTGGTGTTACTGTTGCTGTTGGTATATCTTAAAGATACACACGATCGTCAGCCAACAACAGATAACAGCGCCGTCGCCGCTAACAGCAACAGCGACGCGCACGCAATTAGAACGCTGCCAAACGCGGTCGCTGCCACTGCCACTGCCGCTGCCGCAGCCGAGGCTGGCTGCACCTAAAATGAGAGCGTGCGCCGGCTGCGAGCAGCGCAGCGAGAGTGAATTTTTTGGGTATTTCACGTTGTTCGCTCTCTTCGGGGGTGGCGGCGGCGGCGCTGTTGCTGTTATCGCAGCCGTAGGCGCTATGCGTCGGCGTTTCTGTCTCTAACCGCGCGCGCGTGTGTGTGTGTGTGTGAATGTTTGTGTTTTGTATTTATTATTATAAAATAGTAGTAGATGGGGCCACAAGTAAAAAAACGTAGTAGCTTTTGGTGCTAGCGCTCGCCTGTTTCAATACGTCTGTTTTATTTGCATATATTAAATATGCACGACCTACATTGTTGTTTTTCGACGAGCGACAGACAAACAAAAACGAAAATAAGTATTAAGCTACATACAAACATATACATATGCATAGATACAGACGCACAAAATATACAAAACAGCGCACAGCACACACCGCAGAGCGCCGTTGAGCAGGCGAAGCCGCATATAAATAAAAACACATCAAGTGTACATATGTAAGTAAGTATTACCGCTGTCGCCGTCTCTGCCGCTGTCGCAGTCGCTGCGGGTACCCCACATACACGCACACACACACACACACACGCTGAGAGTGGCGCCCGCGCTCATGCAAGAGGTAAACGTAGGGGAGACAGGCGCACAGGCACACGCACACGCACTCACACACACAGACAGAGAGACACTGCACAGAGTGTCAGTGGAAGCCGACAAAACAACAACTCGCTGGCATCGCCGTCCGCACGCGGTCAAAGGCAAGTCCAAACTGAACCGAAGTGCTCGAAAAAACTTTTTCGCTTGGCCCCAAACAGCTGCTGTCGCTGCCACAGTCCGCGTCGCTGCTCGCAGTCAGCTGCGACAGCGCAGCGACTTTGGCGCTCTTTGCATTTGCACCGACTGTTACAGCTTAACAGCGCTCTGTTAAAGCTCTCGCCTCTCTGTTATGGGTGTGGGCGACCCCAACAGGCTCTGCCTAGTTGTTCTTTAGGCATTTGTTTACTTTGCATACATACATTTTATGATTTTCTTTTTATCTATTTTTTTATTTTTTATTATTATTATCTGCGTATCTCTGACAGCTGTGGAGCTTATTAATTTTCCTAATTGGGCTACTGGTAAGCTTTGGCCCAGCGAAAAGCTTGCAATATATGCAGCTTTTGCTTTCAACACTGACGTCATCGTCACATTAAGAAATTCCATTGGCTAGGGCAGCCGATCATTAAGATATATCAGCGCTCAGAAGCAATGCATCCTTTTTTCAACACTAGTAGCCTGATGAGCTTTTGATGATGGATGATGGAATCCGCATGTTGAAGACCCGCAACAAAGTCTCACACATCAAACTAAATGCGCGGCCATTAGTTTAAATTTGGCTGAAAAAGGCAAAGCCAAAACTGAGGCGAACAAAACACAGAACAAGCGGCAAAATTAAAAGAGCAAAGCGAAACAAGATTTTAGAAATTCGTTTATGGCTTAATACAGATAAGATTAGATGTTAATTTCATAAAGAGTATTACAATTAATTTGAATTGCTTAAGAAATAAAAAGAAAATGCCTTTTGTGGATTATTTGCGTAGAAAATTTAAGCCAACCAGTTGGCCAAAAAGATTTAAGGTGGATTACAGAAAAATTTAATGGGAAAATTCTTTTATGGAAATCTGAAGAGATTAGTTTTCTAGTTAAATTGAAATAAGTTTGTATTTAGATTAAAGATCGAGTATTCTGGGATTGACTTCTTCAGAGTGTTTTTTCTTTAAGCTAAAACTAAATACTCAAAATTTGCTTCTTTAATAATATTTTCTTTTCTATGTTGTTTAACATCGATTTAGATATCAACATATTCATATACATATTGTAAAAGCTTGCATATCAATTACACATTGAGCGCAAGGCCGACCAGAAGGCAGATAGACAGACAGACGTTTGGACGTTCAAGCAATGTATTTGAGTGCATTTAATGAATGATCAAAGAAAATTGAAACCAAGGCAATAATCATGCGACGATACTCCATATATATATTACAGTATAGTATAGTATAGTTGGGAGTAGTTTCTCTATATGTCTAACACTAACTTATTGGCAGACTGGGCAAAGTTAATTACGTGACATGTCAGAGCCGCAAACGAGTTAAACACGCTTCGATCGATGCATTGCAATTGCAATTGCATTCACCTCGAGGTGTTCATTGAACTCTGAAATAACAACAACAACCAACTGAAAATAACATTCAATTTGCTATAATTGATGAGTCTAAGCTCTATTTAGATTGGCTTTCGATTAAAAAATATAAAAACAACATCGCGCCCTCCTTCTGCCAGTAGATATAACGGTAGGTGTAGTTGGCTGTATCTGTAAGTGTAACTCTATCTGTATCTGTATCTGTGTGTATGTGCGTGCGTATTTGTGTAACTGTTTCAGCTTGTCAACAAACGGCAAGCAAATAATACAAGAAATTTTCAACAAAATTTTATGTTTGCCGTATTGACAACCATGGCTGGGCTTATCTGCAGTTCAGTTCGTTTTTTTTTTGTGTTTTGTTTGATGTGTAAACGTTAACATATTTCTGAATATTCGAAAGATACTTTTTTTCCTTGCCCAGCTGATCAGAATTCCCAAATTTCTCACGTAGGCCAAGCGAGCGCAACTCGCTGAACCAGAGAGCTACCGACTTTATATATGTATGTATATCCAAAACTTTTATAAACTAGAGGGAGAGTGAGAGAGAAGAGCAGAGCGAGAGCATGTGTGAGAGAGCTGAAGAGTGGGAGTGAGTGAGTGCCTGCTGAAGCTGTGTTTTCTTATCTGCTCGCCCACAATGTATGTCATTCCTGATAAAGCAGCATTTAGAATTGCCTTTCTATATATGCAACTGTTATAAACATACACATATGTAGTACATGCACACATGAGCATATGTACATATATTTCAGCTCCTGCTAACTTTCATATATGTCTGCCTATATGTACAAGCGCTGCCATGACTAATTAAGCAAAACTCAATTTCTCAGCATAAAAATTTGCCGACAACTTTGTAAAAGGATTGCTGAAAAAGTTTGTTGCGCATCTCTTGGTTATGTGGGCAGGGCAGGCAATGGGGTATACTAGCTGGCACAGGCATTTTGTAGAGCGGCGCATTTGAATTATAAATGGAAGATGGTATTATATATGATATGTACTTGTATTATTGTTCTTTTATTTAGAGTTAACTTTGCTAATGTAGTACTGTGCCTTCCCCTACCTACTCTACTAACAAATTTATAATATAAATCATGTGTTTTATGTAGATCTTTTTGATAAGTTAGAGTGTTCTGCATAATTTCTAGCCAAATTTATTCTAGATTGTATTCGTATATATTATAAATTTTATTCGTACTCCCATGAGTGTTATAAATCTCCATTAGTAGTAAAATTCCTGTTTATTAGGCTTTTACGTATGCTTTCAGTTATTAATAAATAATACATATTTTTATTACCTATTGTAATCGCATTCTCGAATCAACGCACCCAGATGTTTTCAGTTCCAGAGAGCAGCATAAAATTCAAGGAATTCAAAAAAATAATTGATTAAACATCAATATTTGCCATATACTCACATATATTTTAATATGTATATACATGTTTAAAAATTGCTTTATAAATGCTTTGATTTATTTGAGATTTCTTTTACAAATCTATAAATAAGTCTCTAATACTAATTTATATTTTTAATCGATTTGCTCTCTGCAAGGATATTCATTCGTTCACATATACTTGTTGCTCCAGCTCCAGTTGTTGCTTTTGCTGTTGTTATTGTTTTTTATCTTTACTGCTCTTCGTTTTTCGATTTCGGTGCTTTTTGGCCGTGTGAATCATAAGCATTAAGCATAAAACCGACATTTAGCTGATTGATCTTAATAAGAATTCCTGGCCCGGGTGGAGTTGCGTTTTTTGGCTGCGCTCGCTAACGGATTCATGCGGCGGGTCAATAACATTCTGTTGCCAGTGTGTCCATACCGATGCCCAACAGGCCCCCACTACCTCTGCCCCGCCCCCTTTTTGGCAGTCATTGAGGGCGTTACTTGGGCTGCGCCTTGCGCAACATAACAAACTTTGTGTTTGTTTGTCTCAATACTCGTTTGCGATGTGAATACGGGTATATTGATTGGTTTGTGAAGTGTTGGCCAATCTGTTTGCCTCTCTATGCGTAAAGCTGCTTTGAATTGGGTATGATCTGCTGCAATCCATAAATTTAGTGTTTTTGTTTGGACAAGTATTAAAAGGTAGGTTATGCCGGACTACAGCTTTCTCACATGTTTTGTTCTTGTTTCCATGCATTCTCATTGTTCACTTTTAATAACTCCCCCCGCCAATCACCACACAGATGGAAAACGAGTAAGAGAGAGAGAGAGAGAGAACCAGTGAGCCATTTTTCAAGTTATATTTCGTTTGGCTTCTTTTGCAACTCTGTCTACACAAATATCCGAAATAATTGGATTGTTCGGTACATATATGTATATAGAAACATATATTTGGATCAGAGCGTTTGGAATTCGCAAATGTTGTGCTGTGGAGCGGATGTCTGAGGTCCAATTCATGATTGTAAAGCGTCGCCAAAAGTGCAAAATTTGCAAAGCTAATGTCAAAAGAGCTGAGAGATATAGCAAGGGGGTTGCGAGGTCCTTACCCCCATTTCGTGGAGTCTGGGGCATTCTAAGAACTGTTGCATATTTCATGCACTTACATAAAAACAAAAAATCACTTTTAAAGTCAATTTGATGTAGATGTTGTGTAGATGAATTACTTGTTGCGTACCCGTATACACAGAGATACCCATATACGTATGTATGTATGTATATGGTCACACTCGTACACGTATTTTGTCAAACCATTTCTTAACTAATATTTATTTTGAAGCATTTTAGCAAATGGCAGCGACAACCTGTTTAATGAAATCCAATCAAATATGTCTGACACGCAAATTGCAATTTTTTTCCTAATTTTGTTGTAGAAATATACACTGCTTAGAGTCTGTAAGCGGGTATATGGGCTGTGTGTGCAGTATAGTTGGTAGCTCTACCTCTAAGCATAATTAATTTGTAGTGCTTTTTCGTATGCTACTACTATTGTTATATTAGTAAATAGTACTAAGACTACTACTTTTGCTGGTAATACATACTAATGCTACTACTATTTGCAAAATTTACTACTATTATCTATTACAACTATTTCAATTTCAGTTTTTAGTATTTATTTTACCCTACTCTCCACTACTTCAGTTACTGCTATTTCAATTTACTTTTACTATCTACTACTATTACTACTAACTTTACTATTCCTACTACTTCTACAGCCACTGCTACTTTTACTATCACTACTAACTCTACGATTCCTACTATTACTACTACTACTACCATTTTACTACTACTATTTCTTCAATTCATACAATACGGCCCTGCTTCTACTATCAAATCAATAAAGCCTCTTCTAAAACTTCCAATGTCTTTAGATAATATACTCAATGTTTATTTAGTTATTATACAGAATTTGAAATATTTGTAGAGTATTCTGCAGTCCTTTACAGCTGTTTGCCAAATTACTACGCATTGCGCACTGCAAAGACCCAAAAATTGGCGACACTTGCGACATTTTTGTTTCGTAATGTCTGGTGTCTAGCAATCGAATTAAATCAAATGCAATCGACTCTCACAGCAATTATGAAATATATATGTATATGTATATTTGTATATATGTAGGTATATACACCATATCAAAGTCGTGTCTGCAGTTCAAGTGAAACACAATTTGCGTAAAATTGAAGTGCTTCTGCTGCCACAGCCTTTTACTACTAAGTAGCGCACTTGATCAGATGCCACGCCCTCTGCCGCTCGACCAGCTAACACAGCCTTCACTCTGCTGCCCTTTATTATGCTTTTGTTTGTTGTTTTTGGTTTGTTTTGTTGTTGTTGTTGTGCTTCTTTTTTTCTGTGTGCAAACAAAAGGCGTCTAGATTACGTCTACGTCGTCAACAGACCCAAAAACCCAGACAGACGCTGCCTCAAGCTTTCAGCTGTCTCTCTCCCTCTCTCCACATCCATCTCCATCTCTGTCTCTGTCTCGCCCTCTTCCTCGTTTCTGGTTGCTCGTCTCCGTCTGGAAATTGGGTTCGCCTTGTCTGCTTTTTGTCTGCGGCTGCGTCCTTAGCCATTCTTTCGTCTCATTCCTCTCCTTCTTCTTCTTCTTCTTCCTTTTGTAGATGTTAGTCAAGTTTTTATTATGATTTTTTTTTCTGCTTAGTTTTATTGTTTGGATTTTGCATTTGATATCAGTTTTCGGCACATGGCTCGTCTGCCTTGGCCGTTGTCGTCGGCTGTCGTCGGTTGGGCCCAAGCGAAATCAAAAGTGCTTCAAGTCGTGTGAATTTCGGATAGACTTTCTGATGACTCTAGATGACTTCCAAATTGCGGTATATTAAAAAGAGCTCGAATTTATAGAAATAATAGGTGGGAACTTGGCTTTCTATTTTACTAGTATTTTTTAAATACAGATGTTTAATAAAATATTTGTTAAAGTAATATTAAAGAATTTCTCTTAAATTGTTTTCAAATTAATTAACGAACATCTCTCTACATATATTTTTTCTCATTCTATATTTATTTAGCAATTGAAAACAATATGTATATTAATAACAATTTGTTTATTTTTTTTAAATAAACTTTAGTTAATGTTCTAATTTTCAGTTTTCAAATAATTTGGAAAATATTCTTGTTCCTTCCTTCCTGTCTATAATATACATAGTTTGCCATACAATCTGACACAAAACTTGCCAAAAAAAAAAAACGATAGACAGACACACACACAAAGATACAAACACAGACAGACATTCGCACACACACACACACGTATGCATATCACACAAATCATGTCTGGATCTTTATTGTGCGACTGACCTTGAATTTATGCAAATTGCTCAAGTGGGAAACAAAGTTTTTTGTCAAATTGAGAAATCAACCAAAATAAAGAGAAGAGAAAAAAAACAAGCCGCATTTGATTCAGAAAGACCTTGACATTGAGCTCGAAAGGGCTCGCCTCATATTAAATTATGTGATATCATCGCAGTTAGACGGAATTCGCTTTCCAAATGAAATATGAATGCATTATAAACAGATTTGTATAAATAGTAAATAACTGGCTTATGTCATTCGATTTACTTTCTACCTAACAGCCAATGCAATCGGATGTGCTCAATGCCATGCTCATCTCTCCTTATAAGTAAGGCGCACATATGCACATACTTATGTATGCCATAAAGCTTTTATATGTATATCTTTACTCCTTATATGTATACATGTGCCACAATAAGCAGCATCGCAAATTAATTACAGCTTTAAAGACAATTCGAAAAAGATTCTCTCCTGGGAAGTAATCAACTTGAAGATACTCTGTATTGCTTGCAGAAAGAAGTCAATTATGGGTTCTCAAAAATACTTAATTTCCGAAAGACATTTGACTCGCTGCACTCTTCAGTCATGAGAATCGCACAGAAATCCCATTGCCATCCATCTCAAGACGAATCCTGCGATACCCATTTAAGGCAAGCCAATGCTTAAAGGGTATTAAGAAACACAAAAAATACACACACACACACATAATAAGCATCTGGGCACGGTCCGGCGGACAGCGTATCGATAACCCTTATCAAATGTGCGGCATCTCGAGGCGAAAAATACAAATTATGCTTACAAACAAAAAAACGAAACATCGAAATGCCAAAAGTACACATAATGCAACTGTGTGTGTGTGTTTATGTATTTATGTATTTGCTTTGCCATTGGAACTCTCCTGAACGTTTTCGCCTTGGGGCCCACCATCAGAGCTATGGGCGTGGCACGCTTAAATCCCAAACGCCCCGCACTAAAAGCCTCAAAGAGAACAACAAACCCAAAACTCTGAGATGCAAATTATGCGATATGGAAAAGTTCGATCAAATTGCAGTAATTTGCCCCGATGAGCGCTACCCGAAGAAGTTGCAAAGTAAAGCTCAGGCAATTGAGCCGAACAACAAATTTAGGTAGCCGTCTATATAAATGATTTTTGAGAGACTTTATTTACTTATAATAAGCGGACACGTGCTTTGTGGACATACATATACATATTTTATGAAAGATATACCCATGATATTCTCTTATAAAAGGATAACAACTGAGAGATGCTCTATAAGGCTCCTAAGAAATATAAGGATGAGTAGAGCTAATCAAATAAATAATGTTGCACTTCCCTTGTGAGTTTCGACAGATATTTCCCTATAAAGACGGTCAGTAATCGCCGCCCTTTTAAAAAGTATTCTATTTAAACTATATACCCCATCTATGCATTTTGTATGTCATATCAATTTGTCTTGCTTTTCGTTTCAAATTCTGAACTTTTCCAAGCTTAATAACTCAAATTTATGATTCTGAAAAGGTCTATACCAAATTCTCAAAAGTGCGAGCAAAATTTTGTTAAACAAATTTGTGTATTGTCCGCCACTTTATAGAGTAGAATATCCACGAAAATGACCAAGTGTTCCCGGTTGCAACAGGAGATTCAGCTATTGCGAAATGAGTTGGCGATGGTACGGGGGGAGCGGGATGAGCTCTGGCGGAAGCATGATTCTCACTTCCAGCTGTGCAGCGGTTGTGCGGATAGCTCGATCAAAAATGGGAACAATCCGAGCAGCAGAAGCGACAGGCCCATCACTCCCAATCAAGATTTATATATTGCATATTTGGAGGAACAGATACAGCGGACGCGATTCAAGTACAAGAAACAAATGGGCGAAGTGAAGTGCAGTGCCAGTCTATTGGAGACGAAGCTACAGAACGTCCGGATGGAAATGAACTACATCAGTGCCAAGGCCCAGAAGGTGGACAAGCTGCAGAGGAGCATTAGTGAACTTAAGTCGAAGCTCAGTCGTCGGGATATGATCATATCTCGCTATAACGAACAGCATGCTGCCTTTCTTGAGTTGATTAACAATTTGGATAAAGAACCAAATGCCCTGCCTGATGCGCCACAGCAACTTCAAAAGATTGCTTCAAAGAACGTTGATGGCTGTGAAGAAAAGAGAAAGGATTCGGTAATTCGATCTAGATGCAAACCTAACGAATTATTGAACTTTTCATGTTTGAGCACAGCACTAAAAAACAAGCTGGCGCGCAAATAACTTCATATGTCTGTTTATCATATATATCTCTAATATATTTGACGAAGCATACCGCGAAGACTGTGTAAAAATTGCATATTTGTTATTGTTTGATGTTTGTAAATTTTCTATGTTCAGATTGGATATATCGAAAGTATTAAAGTGAAGTGCAGATCAAAAACGTTGCTTCTAGTTTATGTAATATTTTTTCTGGGGGCTATCATTCATTAATACTCGCCCAGAGCGGAACTTCGGTCAGCAATTCGTTCGCTGGAATTTCGTAGAATTTCACTTACTCCAAGTTCAGTGACAATGTTGCCTTCTAGGTTATTGCACTGTAATTCACGAAAATTTATATATTGTATAATCAAACTCTGGGGCGGTGTAACTGAAGACAAATTAAACTAATTTGCTTCTTTATTATGTACTTAATTGCTTCCTACTTCATCATTATTTCATTCATTAATTTAATAAATTAAATATATACACGTGTTTTTTTTTTATATATATTAAAATCTATTGAAAGGAAAAAGTATATAAGATCGATACAAAAAATAAGAAAAAACGCCGGCTTAAAATAATTATGTATATAAGAATTCGGCTCACAGACTCGATAAATTTATCAGATATTCAAATCTCATAACAAATAGTTAGCAATCTCAATTGGCCAAACTCTTATACAAACATTTTATACTGTTATACAAAAGTTGAGTATGCGGAGCATCACATTAGCTATTCAATAATTTGATTAAATTTACAACAATTTCATCTTATTTTGCAGCTGAGTAAATGGTAAAAATGTCACGTTTTGGTCTTTCGATTGGACTTTCTTGACAGCAATAAGTAAGACTTGCTAGCGTTTACGTTTACTTTGTTCGTCGCTGCAGTCGGTGTATCCTAATGCGAAATTTGTGCTAATAAGCACGTAGCATATTTCCCATAAATACTGCCAGCACCTAGTCCAAAAATGACGTAGGTCACGCCTCGGAACGTCTATTGAATTCTAATGGGCAATGCAGCGATTGCACCAGGAAGTGCGTGCAGCAAGCAGAATGCAGCAAGCGATCGTTGGTCAATTGAAGTTATTTGTGGCAAACATAAACCAAATGCCAATTGAAATTGATTGAGCGTTGTTGACAGTGATGAGAATTTTTAGAAAACAAAAAGAACTAGGTCAAAAGTTCAGAGAGTGTCCAATATGACTATTAATAGATAATTAATTAATTGCATCACAACTTCCACTTGATGTATAATCTTATCGTTGAGTCTACGGTGATTCAAAAACTTATGATGAAATTGACCATTACGCATAAATTTAAAAGGCGCTAAACAATTTCAATCAGCCTTCATTTACAATTAGTATGCATTATATTCGCTTTTAAATTTAGGTTTATATATGGCATAGAGCATAGCGACGACGACCCTGAGCCGTTTTTGTAACGTGTTTCGTTTGCTTCTTTCGTCGCTAGCCTAGTCTACGAGTGTGACGTCACTGCCAAGGGGCTCCACTCTAAGAAGAACAAAGTAAAAATACTGTTTTACATTTTCTGTTCAATTATTATTATTAATGCTTAGCTAAATTGTGTACATTACATTATTATATTAATTAGCGACTAAGTTCGGCAGTGACAATTCGGTGTATCTTTTTATTATGTGCCCGAGAAGCTTCTAAAATTGTTTTTCAGCAACAGCACAACAAAGAATATGCCCACAGCGATGGTAAACAACTGGACGTTGATGACTTTCGAGTCGACTAAGGCCTGCAGCATATTATAGATGCTTTCGCTGCGTACTTCACCTCCACAGCAGTCCATGTGTATATAACTAATATTAAGTACGTCGGTCGATATTTAAAAACTACGGCTATCCCCACGTTATATGTGTGTCCAAAATCAAGACTTTTTCTTATTTTTTTTTTTGTACGGGGAAACAGCTGTTCAATTGAGTATTTACTAAAGCAGTGTTGAAGAGTGTGCGATAGTTCGTTTGATATATGGCAACGCTACCAACAGCTGTTAACTTCAATTAATTATGGATATCCAATATTTACTATTTCAAGTTTTGCCTAAGTATTTAAATACGATTCCTTTGCAAATTTCTTGCTATGAGATATATAATTATCTTAGCTATGTCTCCAACTTAATTGCACTCAACCCACATACTACACAGGAGTCAAAACAAAACTCAAAATCAAATAGCATCTCATGAACTGTGGGTTTTGTTTTATTATTTAGCTTAACATCACTATTCGCTAATGTACGCCGACTAGGAGGACAGTTCGTTTATTCGTCATTTTCATAATCAGCAGGATTCTTACGCAGCAAAGCCGTATGCTTGCGCTCGGTCAAGTCGAAAATCAAATAGCCGACAATGAAGGCTGCAAGTGAACGTATGATTAGATCAAGAAGGTTTTTAAATTAACTAATAAACTTACGTGGCACCACACGAAAGATGTTAGAGCGGATGCGGCGCACAAAGTTGGGAACACCATGGCTGATCGCACCGGCAAAGGCGCGCTGCTCGAAGGGCGACAGTTTGTAGGTGACAATGCCGTGAACCTTGGCGAGGTTGCCGAAATGGGCGCCGTTCAGAATCGATGATACACGCATGGTTCAAGCTGTGGACATGTTGAGGAGAGAAGGTTATTGGTATTGAGTTTACAAACCACATATGAAGCCAACAAGGATTTGGATAAAAACACAAATGGTTATTATAAACATTCTGCACTTAGCCTCAAAGAGGTTATGTAATTTTTGCACTGCGAACGTCTGCAACAGCGGATAGTTGCCTGCACTTATGCTAGCCAATAATGGGTCATATTTATAGTGCCCAGCACTTGGCAAATTTTTTGGCAATTATTACGTTAATTATTTACCTTGACAAATCAGAATTTGTGCCTTAAATTAGAATAAACGCTCGGATGACGTCTGTTTGCTTCAGCTGCTGCTTCTGACAGTGCTATATAACATATGTTAAATTGACATGAAACTGTTAGCATTTCGATAAAACAAAACAGTTGTCGACAGGCCACCACAATAAGAGGCTATTTTTCAGCTCGAACAACAATCCAAGTCGCAAACGCCAACTGTTTGTAAAAACATTAATTTATTAAAGAAAACCTTATAAAATTAAATAGAAATGGCCGCTAAAGTAGCTAACAGCACAAGCAAGGTGTTTCAAAATGTAAGTATGCGGTTACCAGCTGTCGGCATCCCAGAGTAACCTCACTTTGCTCTCTTAGCTGCTTAGCACATTCGAGGCGTTGACTAATCGCATTTCTTTCTGTTTTATATATAGCACGACGATGTGCATATTTCCTTTGAGGATCAACAGCGTATCAATCGTTTTGCCAAGCACAATGTGCGCATGGATAACTTGAAAATGGAGCTGGAGATGAAGAAAAATGATCTGAAATGTGTGGAAGAGGCATTGGAAGAAATTGAGCTATTCGACGAGGATGAAGATATTCCTATTCTGATTGGCGAAGTATTTCTCTCACACAAGCTGAACAAAACACAGCAACTGCTCGCTGAGACGAAAGAAGAAGCCATCAAGGAAATTGCCAGCATTGAGGCCAAGGCAAAGGTCATCAAGGCAGAGATGGACGAGCTCAAAGCACATCTCTACCAGCGTTTCGGCAGCAACATCTCCCTCGAAAACTAGGACTAAGCAGACAACAAGTGAAACAGTTTCAATCAAATATATATACTAAATTTAATTTAAATTCCGATCATGATATATTCATTCGTTTGACTACAGCACTAAATAATATATTATCAGTCCAATTATCAGCAATGTCACCACCATGCCACCTAGAAAGATTCGCCGATCCTCCACCAACCTGCGCTCGATCAACTTCATTGTGTGATTGGATAATCCCAGTGTGCTGCCAATAGCTTGTATACGTTTATGGGCCCCACTTAGTGTCATTCGCTGGGATATGAGACTTTCCAGTATGCCACTGCCAGACGCAATCATGTCGTCCACACCCCGATGGGCGTTTCCCATCTGTGTGTTATGTTGCAACTCGTAATCCAATTGGAGGCACGTCTCCGATGGAGCTGTGCTGTTTGCAGCGAATCTATGATTAAGCAGCTGCTCCCGCTCACTTATTTCCTGCAGTCGACGCTGGCGACGATCCCGCGCGTGCTGCAGTGATGTTTGCAAATGCCTCAAATCATATTTAAGCTGATCTATCCGCAGCTTAGAGCTCTGTCGCTGTGAGGGCGGCACCTTGAAAAGCAACACATCGAGCCGGTCGCAGTTGCTATACGAATTAAACATATTTAATCAGCTGTTAGGGATACGAGAAAAGGTGACTCACGAGTTAGCTTGGGTAATTTTAACTTGTATTGCATTCTCCACGTCAAGCGCTTCTTGTGGTGTGACTTGGCCAAGTCGCTGAAAGCATTGCTCAATTTCCTTGACCGTGTTATTTGTTTGGTGGTACAGTGTTTCCATTGTCTGGTAGGCAGCAGGGTAGTCGTCTAGATAGTCTGTTATTTACTGAATTATCTGAAAAATTAACACGTAAAAATTGATTCGTTTCAAAAAGCTGACGCGTTGCAAATAGTCCAATTGGTTAAGTGCGTTGTTATCGTACTAACTTATCGGTAATCGCCATTTCGTCACCTGCGGTACATATGTCTGGCAACGCTTTTCTAAGAAAATGTGCTAATTAAAACCATACCTAAGTATGCGGTCAAAGAATGCGCTAAAATAAGCCAAAACACACACACACTCTAGGATAAACCACAATGGCGCATACATCTAGTACCGGCGTTGGTAAGAATTTTATTTGTAAAATTAACAATTTGGCAACAATATTTATCGAAAAACACGTGCCCGCGAGTACAGCCGAGATGTTGGCAGCATTTTGCCATCAAAAAGTGCGAAAGTTCGGCATAAAACGAGTGCGCAAAACGTATTTTTATTGAACGATGACGGGCCGCTGCCGCAGCGCTTCCACTGCCCCGCTCTGTGTGAAAATGAAAAAGAAAGCAAATGGCAAAAAAAGTCCGATAAAACGCGAGCTCACATTAAATTCATATTGGAAAATAAGCAAACGAACCATTGTCTATTGCGTTTGTCTCTCTGTTGCTGTTCCAATTGCAGTTGCCGTCGCTATGCAGCAATTTTTCTTCGTGACTTGACAATTTCGGTGGGGCCCGCACCCCACACACACATACACGCACACCCCCTTTGCCTTTCGTTGTGTCCCTTTTCAATTGTTGTATGTGTGTGTGTTTTTTTGCTCGTTTGCTCAGCCACTTGGTTTTATGCTCTTTGCCTTTGCTGCTAACCAAAGTGCTTATTTAATTTCTAATTAAATTAGTTAGCCTGCTGCTTCTAAGACAGTGGCTGCAAATTTCGCATATTGCGCATAATATCTTTAACGCTTGCCTGCAAAATTATGTCGTGTGTGCAAGTGGGCAGGAGTCGGGGGAGCACGGTGTACTGTTGGAGCTAACCAGGCAACCAAGCAACTAACCAACTAATACCACACCCTACGTCCGTCCGGTATTCGTATTTAATTTTTTTATTCTACTTACGAAAATGAGTGCAAAGCAAAGGAAAAACAACGCAAGATACACTGGCCAACAACAATAGCAGCAGCAACAACAACAATATGAGTTTTGAGCAAAAGAAGAGCGCGAAGAGAACGTCTACTAAGAAACACATGACCCCCTCGCGCTAAATACACGCTTTATGCCTTAATTACAACCTTCGGCCCATGCAAAGTTAAATAGAAATTTATAGTTGCCTAAATTTGGTTGATTTTCAGTGGTGCCACGAAATTTCCGCTTACTGGAGGAGCTGGATCAGGGCCAGAAGGGTGTAGGCGATGGCACCATATCATGGGGTTTGGAGAACGATGATGATATGACACTTACCTATTGGATTGGCATGATTATCGGCCCCCCCAGAGTAAGTGTACCCAACTAACTGATGAATGCAAGCGTCATCACACTCATCTACGTCACGTATAAATAGACTGCGTAACGAATGAGTTTCTTATCGGTTGAGATTATAGTCATTATGAAAGATATTGTATAGATATAGATATTGTCGATGTTAGATATAATCGATTGCGTAAATTCAAATTATGTCCGTGTAAAAAATATGCAAATGTCAATTAAATTTGATTTACCAAATTCTGACTGGAAACAAATTATAAAGTTAAATGTAATTCTCAACTAAGTCAGAAAATAATGAAGGCAGTTTTCCTTAACGATATTTTAACAGTTAGGTGAGAAATTAAAAGTGTATAATTCATAAAACAGATGCGTATTGGCACGCTGTGGAGCTTGCATTTAAAATTAGATGTAAATTAAGAATAGCCAACAAACTTATCGAGCCAGAAACTAACCAGACTTATAGCCTCATTTAATTTGTGTTATATAAAATAGATTAAAAACATCCTATTAGAACGGTTGATAACAAAAATTAAGAGATAAGCTCTATGCAAAGAATTATTTTTGGCGACAACAAGAAATTCTAAATTCTTTTAAAAATATTTAACTTATTTAAATAGGCACTGAGTCGGTTATGAATCACGAAATGTTGCAGTGGCAGCACATGCTGACTCATCGAAAGAGCATGAGAGCCTGTCCGGGTAATAATTGTTAGTTGATGGTAGGAGTGAAGGGAGATACGGACGTGCATTGTGTATAATCACTAGTCATTAAATGCATATTTCTAATACATATTCACTGATTCGCATGACTTGGTCTTTCTCTTTTCTAGACACCATTCGAGAATCGAATGTATTCACTAAAGATCGAGTGCGGCGAACGCTATCCGGATGAGCCACCAACGCTCAGGTTTTTAACGAAAGTTAATATAAATTGCATTAATCAGAATAATGGTGTGGTAAGTGGAGCATCGATCACTACGCTTATATATTGACAATCTAAGCCGAATGTGTTCTGTGTAACAGGTTGATCATAGATCAGTACCCATGTTGTCCAGGTGGAGTCGGGAGTATACCATTAAAACGATGCTTCAGGAAATACGTAGGATTATGACCATGAAAGAGAACTTGAAGTTGGCACAACCGCCAGAAGGTAGCTGTTTTTAGTTGGCAACAACGATTAAAACAAAATCAACAGCAACAAAAACAACCTACAACCACAACAGCAACAACAACAACAAACTGCAGCAGCATCAACAACCACAACAGCATTACACACAACTGCCACTGCAACAGAAACAGCATCAAGAACAGCAACAGCTACAGTCGGCTGATTGTGAATGAGTGTTAAGAGGCGCGTGCCTGCCATTGGTAAGTCGCCTCAGTCCTCCACAGAGTTGTGTGTAATGTGAAAGAGAGACGGGATAGAGATAGAGAGAGAGAGAGGGGGGGCCGCCGTTAGATAGGAGGAGCTAAGTAGCTGCATTATTGTTTTTGTTGTCTGCTGTACTTCTTGAATGTGTGTGTGTGTTCAGCAGCAGCAAAAACTAAAGCAGAATATCTATACTATAAGTGTAAACAAGAGCAACTGCAGGAGAAGAACAGCCAGAGCAAACGTCACTAATATATAATAAATGGTCGTCATCCCTTCCGTCATCGATCGTCGTACGAATGTCATCATGTTTGGTTACAAAACCCATTCTTAACTAAGAAATAAAACAACTCAATGTAAAAGAATGATTAAGAAAGGAAAAACAACAAACACACACACCTACACCCTTGCTAAAGAAAAAAGGAGACATTTATAATTTTACTCAACCAATTTACAAAAAAAGAAAAAAAAAAATCACAAAAAAAAAAAAAAAAACTTAAAAAGGAAATCCGTATAAGATAAAAAATTCAGCGAGTTATGTTTTCGTTGCATCGAAGAAGACGAAACGTAATTATTGTTTTGCATAACTAAAAAATTTATTAATTATATATATATATATACAAATTTAAGCGAATTTTTTGTAGTAAAAACAAAAGCAAAAAAAAAAAAATTAACCGAACCGAGGCGATTGTAATAATTTAATTAGTTTTCCTTCTTCAAATGGGACGTGAGACACGATTTATATCCTCGAAACATTGCGGTAAATATATAAAATACAAACTTTTAAAACAAACAAATAAACACACACACACACATCTATACACACTAAACTGATGAAGAAGTCGAACGGGCAGAACGATGAAAAAGAAAATGATTAAAATAATATTTTAATTTAAGCTTCTAAATAAAACAATTAATAATCCAATAAAAAAAAAGAAAAGCCAAAACGCATTTGAAGTGCGCATCAGTCGTAATAGGTTGAAAATTCAATTCGAAATTTGTCTATAAGCAATATACATATATTTAGATCTTAAAAATTTTAAAACCAATCTCGACTGATCCACCTGAGTATATTATTTACTTATATATTATTAAACATTTCATCGAAGAGATCTGTATATATGTCAATATTTTTACGTCTTCACTTCATCCATTTAATAGCAGTTGCTCAGCAAGTTTCGTAAGCCCCATTTAAACACCTAAAGATCTTTCTTCGCCATATAAAACTGAAATCAAATTCGGGCTTTATGTTTTCAATTGTTTATTTAAATACATAATTTGAATTTAAGATTTATACACAATACATGTAATAGTTTCCATGATTCATTTTGTCTAGGCTCTTTGCTTTCGTTGAACTTCCCGCTTTATCCTTGATGTCCTTTGTTTGATCTTCATCCATTTGTTATACTAGGAATTTTGGTATTTGTTTACTCTGTTCTGGCATTTTATTTTTTATTGTTAGCTGTTACTATAATTTCATTAATTGAACTTTGTGTTTTCTGTGTGTGTGTGTGAACGGACATTTTTTTGGGTTTATGCTTAAACTTGATTTATTTTTTATTAGTCGATAAAGTCGCATTAACACTGCAGTTCTTCACGCCAAATCAAATTCAAACAAATCTCTACTTCTCCTTGGGCACAAAGACGATCTTTCGGGACTTGAGCGCAGACCACTTGTGTCGCTTAATGTAATACGAGATGGCGGTCAGGAAGCCAAGAATGCCAATCACCTTAATCAGCAGCTGCTTGCGCTCATCATGCTCCGGCTCCGATGTCCACTTGAGGAACGTGGCCACATCCTTGGCCAATTGACTTTGTGTTGGCGGTGTGCCATCCTCATACTCAATTACCTGATCAGCAAATAATTCAAGATATTAATCGAGTTGAAGCCGCATTGCTTAGATCTGTGCTCACCTCATTGTACAAGACCTGGGCCATGGATATGGCACCGCCAGGGAAGTACGGATTGAAGTACTGACCCTCGCGTAGCACGACTCCAGCTGGCGCATCATGATAGCCAGTTAATAGCGAAAAGATGTAATCCTCGCCACCCTTGCGCGCCGAAACGATGTAGCTCAAGTCTGGTGGATAAGCACCGTTGTTGGCAGCACGAGCCGCTTCCTCATTGGGATACGGCGATGGGAAGTAGTCCGACAGCTTGCCGGGACGGTCAAAGTAGTTGCCGGTATCATCGGGACCGTCTCTCACCTGGATCAATTCAAAGGTAAATACGAATTTCGGCCGAAAAGCAATGAATTCTCACCGTGATCTGCTCAGCCTCGGCCTTGGCCTGTTCTTCGGTATGGCTGACGCCAACCAGATTGCGGTAGGCAATATATTGCATCGAGTGGCAAGCAGAGCACACCTGCTTGTACACCTCATAGCCGCGACGAATGCTGCAGATCGTAACCAATCAATTGATCTATACACTAACACTTTAGATATATTTGAATTACGCACCTCTGGTGATCCAGCGAGGAGAAGAGACCCCTATGGGACCAGGGCTGAGCGGGTGCGTGCACTTCACTGCCGGAAGCCTCCACCGATTGCTCCAGAGCAAACAGCAGAGCACCAACGCCGCCGGTAACAGCGCCGATGGCACCGATCAGCTGTTCGCGACACGCACACAACAAACATCGAGCGTCGAGCGTTGATCGTTGGTTGAAATGAAAAAAATAAGTAAGCGCAAATTTGAGGTTAGGTCCGTTCGGGTATTATGAAATGCTCGGTGTCCATTTGGTGACTTGTGATTACCTTTTTGTTGTTGCTTGCCCAGCTTGAAGCGGAGGACAGGTTCTTGGCCTTTAAAAAAAGAGAGTATTGATTAGATTTAACAGCTCTGCAAAAAACTGCACGTATGGGTTTTTGCACGGAGTTACATAATTGTGGGTCGAGTGTAATCTACCGTCTCAATGGAGGTAACAATAGTTAAGTCATCACAGATGATGCACAGTTTTTGGACCAATCAATGCCACATACTTGGATATGGACATTGGATGCAAAATTAATGTTGTAATGATAGTGAGCTGGATTGACTGTTTAGCGCGTTACGGAAAATTTTCTTTGGCGATGCTTGTTGGATGGGTGGGTGACGGAGTGTTTTACCTGTTGCAGATTCAAAGCTGGCGTAGATTTTAGCAATCTCAAGCCATTGAATCTTCGCAATGTCGCTGCCATTCTGGCCGGAGTTAAATTTTATGCGTCTGGTCGTGTAAGGAAACTTAAAGGGCAGCGCGAATCTATCTATTCCACTGGCACGGAGTCGCTCGCTTCTCGCTGGCAGATGTTTACTCGCTGCTTCTCAGTCGTTGAATTTAACAGAAATTGCTCCTCTTCAGGTAACAAAATGTGCTCCTCCGTGTGTGCACCCACGCAGGTAACAACGACTTAACAGTTTTGCTCCACATTTAACATAAGCCACTGTATAGCTAACACGTAATTTGTGGGGTTTACCACATTATTAAGTCGGTTATTGACCACATCTTAACAGAGCTGCTCCACGGTTAACATAGCGTACCTTTGACCTGAAGTGTATCACTAACCAGAGAACACATAGACCGGACACGTAGTGTAAAGTGTTTTGCAC